ATTCACAAGCCAGAATAGGGAACAGACAGCACACTGATGAAATTCACAGATGGTACTCATTTGGGAGAGATTATGAATACCAGGGATATCAGAAAAAAATGATACAAAAGGACCCAGAGAAGGAATAACAATGAAACTTGACTTTGAAAATGCAAAGTGATGTGTCTGAATATAAAAAAAGAAAATCTTCAACATTTAAATAGAGGGGAGAAAACCAGAAGTCAATGTTGAAAGTGACATCAAGTTGGGATAATGGAGTTAAATTTAAAAATGGGCCCTCTAAAATACAGCAGTAAAATTACTACTGTATTTCTTAATCTTCTGTGATCTCCGGAAGACAAATAAGGTGTTTCTGCTTCGTGCTCCGTATTCTTAGCTTATCACATTGTTTTTATAGATTACCTTTAGATATGTCTATCCTTCCTCATCAGACTATGTTTCTTGAGCACGAGGACTGGGTTACATTCCTTGCTATAAACCTTGGGCCTGGCTCAGTGCCTGGCACAGAGTAAGCACTGGAAAAATATTTCTTGCAGAAAATGAACTGCTTCCAACAGCACCTCTTTGAATGAGATGTGATGACGAAAACTTATCAGGTAACATTTGGGTTTCAGGACTCTAAGTAACAAGGGAGCAAGAAAGAGTTACCCAGAAATCAGGAATAACCATAACTACCTTTCCTTTGTATAGAACTTTCATAATTAGTTTTTATGTTTTCTCTTCGAACAGGAAGTCGCATATTCAAAAGGGACAGAGGGGTTGAATTCCTCACTATGGAGACAAAAGTGTTTGAGAATCGGAGAGCTCTGTCTGATTTGTAGAAGTTATTTCTGTCAGTCTGAGCATTACGTCGGATATGCAAGTCATGTTGGCCTAGAGTGGAGAAGGTGAAAGTTGATACAGTTTCCTGAGTACTGTTTTGGGACCTCTACTGGTCCTTATAATTCTTTCAGGGGGTCCACAAGGTCAAAATTATTTTCACATTATACGAAGATGTTATTTCTCTCTTTTAGTCTCATTCTCTTTTGAATGTACAGTGGAGTTTTCCACAGGCCAAATAAATAATGTGAGGACATCATTGACCTAAAGGCTAAGGGAGTGTTTGCTAGTGCATTCTTGTGTTTTAAATTTTTCACCGTGTGAATTTCTAATGCAACAAATATTGATAGATAGGACACACACAAACAAAAGCTTTTGGGGGTCCTTAATAAATTTCAAAAATGTAAAGCCATCCTGAAACCAAGAAATATGAGAATTCCTTGCTTTGAATTCCAACTTTGGGCTCAAACAGACATAGGTTAAAATTCCCATTGCACTGACTGCGCAGGTATTTACCTTTCCTAGGTCTCAGTGTTCCTTGCGTAAGAGTCACATCTACCTCATGGAGCTGTTGTGAGGATGAAATATGAAAATAAGGATAAAGAACAGATCTCAGTGCTGAGCACACAGCTGAGCCTTAATAAGAGGTTTATCATCATCGTAAAGGAAGGATAACGTGCAGTGACTTCCAAGAGCCTTTTTCTGACCCTTTGGAAAGCAGGTTTCCTTTGTGGGACTGCATCCATCCTCCAAGGACAGTAGAGGAGAGGAGCTAAGAGGGCAGAGCCTTCCTTCCTCCTCCTTGAAATCTTTGAGAAATTGATGATTCTGGTGCTTCTGACTTCTGGAGGCTGTGGGTTCATTAATTTCAAAACTGCTGCTAGAAACTCCTGTGTGTCAATCAGAACATGAAACAGATGATGTCTCCCTTCTGGTGGTTAGAGCAGGAGGGCATCAATTTCGAGCAGAAGGAGCAAAGGGCTCAATGTTTCTTCAAAGACAAATCTTTGCCACTGACAATAGTCCCATGTGGAGGGTATCAGGGACCATGCTTTTCCTTTTCTTAGAGAAAACTTGTTCCCAAGGACTACTGCATTCAAAATAGTAATACTGACACAAATATAAATCATAAGGGTAATGAAATTTATATTTCTCTAACACTTCCCAATTAATGCTTTCATATGCAAAGATCTATAATACCAGAGCTGGAATGTTCTTGGTGATTATCTAAACTAAACCTCTAACAAAGAATTGACCCAGAGAAAATGGGACCCAGACAATTTAAGTTACTTGCCCAAGATTATACAAAGAATGGAAGTACCATAATCTTATTAAAATTCATGATATCTTGATATCTGCAGAGTGGGTGTTATTTATCACATCCAATTTGCAGATGAGAGAACAGACTTGATATATTAACTCTGGGGAAAGAATTAAATCTAAATAACACAGCCAAGATTCAAGTCCAGGTCATCTGAGGGGACTTCACCATTTTATCTACAGAATCACCATCATATTTTTGGGAATGCTTACTTCCCAGAAAAATTGTGGGATAATGATTCAGGAAATGCTAGTAATAGCACCTCTATCCTTCCCCTTCCTTCTCCCACCAAACATTATAGCCCTGCCATCCTCTTGCATGGACTTGTGCTATCTTAAATCTCCTCAGTAAATTCCTACACCGGACCTTATACATTGAAGAGAATGAGTATATTCATGGGAGATGCTGATACCACCAAAGAATTGATCTTCCTTAGTCAAAGTTGATGAATCTCATACAAGAAGCACCTAAAGCCTCTCTTGCTTGGGATATTTTTTCTTGACTATTTTGCTGCTCCAGTGGAAATCACCCCAATACCCATTTATTTACATTAGACTTCTGAAGGCCTTTACTAAAATAGCAATGCCATTTTGGCAGGCGATGCATTAACTTTATGAAACATCATAAACTGGCTTTTCAAATTAGAGTAGATTCTTTCTGTATTAAGGTCAGAAAGGAATAGGGAAATACAGTAAGAGCTCTAGTGGTGGGCAATTGGAGGGCAATGGGTATCAAGGGGAGTCTTACCATAGTTTCCTGATCTTATGAAAAGATGTTCTCCTTTGATCTCCAAAGCTATCAAAGCTGACTCATTTGTCCCCATTTCCATAGGACCTTTTATGTAGCTCTATCTCAGACCTTCTTGTTACTAATCCTTCAGTCTTGCTTCTTCCAGTTCATTGGCCAACCAAGAAGCCCATTTGTACTGCCCAGAAGTCCTTGTGTATCGATTCCCCAGGCACCTCTCCTCCATACTAAGTGTATGGCCAATTGTATTGTCCTACCTGCAGCTCTGCACCTTGCAAGGGCTTCTGGCTCACCCGTGGCGAGGTTATCATGCAGCAGCAAATCATCTCAGCAGGCACCTGTGTGTCCTGCTGACACATCTATCAACTGTGTCTTTGCTCCACAAAAGCAGGAGTGATAGAGGCCTTGCTGGAGCCCAGTACTTGGCAAGAGAACTGGTAACGCTGCTAGGCCAGGTAGTGGCAGCCGTCGCCATAAAGATGGTGGAAGCAGCTGGAAGACAGGTGAAGTTAAATTGTATAGAGTGTTTCACAAAATTATTTGACCACAGAACAAGTCTTATTAATATCATGAAGATCCAGAATTTTGTAGAACACATGTTGGGTTGCACTGTTATAAGCATGTATCTGTTTTCTGAGTACTAAACAAGTTTGAACTACATGGATCAATCAGTAAACATCTTCCCGATATTGTAAAAGATCTTCATTCCTATGTGTAGCCCCTAATTATGGTACTTAGAATATTTGTGGACATGAGGCTTTGGTTCAAGGTGTTTCTTTGCTTCTTATAAACTGTATGAACCTGAGTAAGTTATTTGACCTCCTGAGCCTCTGTTTCCTCACCTCTAAAGTGTGAATGATAAATAGTATTTCATAACGATGAGTACGAGTTCAGCTGCTATCTCTCAGTCAAGATGGACTAGGTTATGCTACAATAATAACTCAATCTCAATCTCAAAATCCCATGGTTAACACAACAAAGTGTTTTCACTCATCCTGCATGTCTACCATGGGTTAGTGAGGGCCTTACTCAGGCACCCAGGCTGACAGTCTCTTCAATGTTGTAACTCAGCCACAGGAGACAGGAGGCTCTCTCAGTCACCCCAGCAGGGGAGGGCGGCTCTGGAGAGTCTTGCACCGGCAATCACAACCTTTGGCCCAGAAGTGACACATGTTTACTTTAGCTCAGAGCCTGGCAGCTAAAGTGATCCTCATGAACTCACCTGATTGCATAGTGCCTGGATATAGCAAAAGCCCAAGACGTGTTTGTTGAATTAATAAATGAAGGAATAAACCAATAAACCAATAAATAACAATAACAATCATTTATATATATCAATGTTTCCAGGTGCCCAAAGATGGGGTTTACACATATTTTTCTTATTTAACGATGAAACAGACACAACTAGATACGAGTTTGGCTGTGGATACATTGATATAAATGTACTTTTATAGTACATGATTTTAGAAAGATTTTAAATTGTTCTTTTCCCTTTCTTTGCGGCGTTAGTTTAGAGGATACCTCAAACGCCCTGAAGTTCCGAATTCGGTTTGTCTCATTTTAAAACTACTCAAAGGAATTTGACAACGACATTAGGCGTCTCCATTATGGCTTCGTAGATCAGTTAATGTGAGCTCGCTTTCAAGTTTGAATCTAAAAGTCCAGGTACATCTTAATCTGAACCCTTTGAAGTTTACCCATCCTCATTTAATGTGATAACGTAATCTATATGTTCAGAACCCATTTGAGGGGCAGGAAAGGGAAAATGGCACGCAAAAGGAAAGATGAACTCTTCTCAGGGGTGAAATCTATCTCGCACATGCATTTATCTTGGGCAGACACTGTTGTTTAAACTAAAAATAATCACAGCCAGTTCTGTGACATTAACCTGCTTAGTTACTCCTGCATAAAACCAGGAATGAAAATGAGGGCAAAGGTTAGTAGTGAGTCTGAGGATGATTCTATTTCTCTGCTAACACCGTTTCATCCTGCCTGGAGGAAAATGGTGCCTGTGTGTTACATGCTCACGTTGATTTCTCAAGTTATAATTAATTTCCTTGGGCTGTTGTTACAGATAAAAGATTAGAATGCTGAATACTCTACTTACTCTCACAATGCTGCCAGATTACCACTTAATGCTCGGAGAAGACTTTGCCATTACTGTGAGCTCCATGTTATTCAGAAGGCAGCCCTGACTCATTGTCCTTGTCTTTCACCATATTCTAAATAGGTAAAGAGGTAAACATATTAATAGTCTTAATATATACCTCTCCACCCTAAAAGAATGGGCATAATAACATCTACCCCGGAAAAAGACAAAGGAGAAGAAAACTCATTCAGAAAAATAAAGGGGAGGGGAGCATTGAAACCGGAGGGAAAAAGGGAAGCTGAACAATAGAATTTACATAATGAGCAAAGGAAGAAGGCTAAAGCCTTTTTTTTATTCACATGCTGGCTCTTTTTAAGAATGCTTCAAGGATTAGGATAGGCATTAGTCATATTCATACCAAATATGAGGAAAGTGGACTTCGGATATTCCTTCCTTTATGCCTCAAAAAACAAGCAGTTATTTCTTATCTATGGGGGGGATCTTTAGGAAGGGGAGGTGCCCAAGTAGAAAAACAAAAAAACAACAAAAAAATCCCCAGGAAACCCGAGGAAGTAATGTCGTACACTTCAAACCTTTTGCACGGCTCCGTTTGTTGTTATGAAGCGATCCTGTCAGGTAGTCTTAAAATCTTTTTAATTCTTCCTCACCAAGTTTCCCACTTCAAACAAGGAGTTGTCTACAACAAAATAACAGTTATCCAAAACTGAACAAAATGGCAATTGTTGGCACAACAGTCGGTCTGTTCAGATTGACTGCAACAGACAAAATGAAGCGGAGAAACCTCAAAAAGATTTTGTAAGGTGAATGGCTCCAGTATTTCCCACCCTCTCAAAGGGCCTTTGTGATTTTAATACTGGGTCGGGGACACATTTCTTAGCTTCTCTGATGGGCTCCGATGCCCCTTCTTGTGTTTTAGTGGTCCTGTGTGCTTCCCCTCTTTAACACTAACTACCGTGGGAATTTTATGTTGACTTGTATGATTGTTTTAGCCATGTTCATGTTCCCTACTCATCTGGCTCCCTGAGGACAGTATACACGCCCTTTCCTTGTTCACCACTGTGTCCCCGCCTCGTAACAAGGTCCGGGTAAATGCAGACTTCTGATGCATCTGGGTTGCAGGCATGGGGGTAGATAAAACCATTAACTAGTTCATGTCAAAGATGGGCACCCTGACTACCTGTATCCCTTCGGCCATTTTTCCTATTCACTATGTCCTTAATCTATGTGCTCTTTACCCGGGGACTGTCTTCAGTAACTCTTTCTTATATACGTAAACTTCATTTTTTAGAACACTTTTAGATTGACAGAGAAATTGCAAATATAGTACAGAGTTCTCACATGCCCTAAATCCATTCTCCCTATTATTAACACCTTATATTAGTATTTGTTATAATCCACGAACCAATATTGATATTATTGTTTTTAATTATTGTTAACGATATTATTATTAACTAGACCCTATACTTGTTTCAGATTTCCTTAGTTTTGACCTCATGTCCTTTTTCTGTTCCGGGATCCCATCCAGGGTGCCACATTACATTTAATCTTCAAATCTCCTTTGGCTCTTTTTGGCTTGTAACAGTTTCTTAGACTATGCTTGCTTTTGATGACCTTGACAATTTGCACAGTACTGGCTAGGTATTTTGTAGCCTATCCCTGTACTGGGATTGGTGTGAAGTTTTTCTCACGATTAGACTGGGGTTATAGATTTGAGAGGGAAGACCACAGAGGAGAAGCACTATTTGCATCCCCTGTGCCAAAGGTACATATTATTAACATGACTTATCACTGAGGCTGTTGACTGTTGACCACCTGGTTGAGGTTTTATTTGCCAGGTTTCTCTACGGTGTGCAGCTACACTTAAGGATCTGGGACTTATGCTCCACATTCTTGAGAGGAAAAGGTCTAACATGACTTGGAATTCTTCTGCATGGGAAATTTGCTTATTCTCCCTTGTTTATTTGTTTATTCAGTTCGTTATTTACATCAGTATAGCTGATGCATATTTATTTTGTGTTTAAGGTTATAATCCAATACTACACTGTTTATTTTGTTGCTTAAATTGTTCCAGTTTTGGCCACTGGGAGTTTTTTTCAGTTGGCTCCTGAGTCCCTTTGCTATACCCTCATCCTTGTGAGGATTTTTGTTTTTGTTTTTGTTTGTTTTGTTTTGTTGTGTTTTTTTGAAGCACCTATCTTCTGGCATTATAAGGCACTCCAGGCTCATCTTGTCCTCTCCCTAGAATCAGCCATTTCAGCCATTTCTTTTTTTTTTTATGTTATATTAATCACCATACATTACATCATTTATTTCAGCCATTTCTTCAAGGAGCATTTGTTCCTTTTCTTGGAGAACGGTATTTGAAACCAAGATGGAGCTGCTAAATGTGCTGTTACTGGGGTATAATTGCCTCTAGACCCTCTCAGCTGAAACAGCAAGGACAGGTATGTGTGTCTCAATCGACAGATACATACATGTCTGTACATATTTTTATATGTAACCGCTTGTATCCATGTTAAGCTCAACATGAGTTCATACTGGTATCTCTGATTCTAAGTCACGGCAACATCCGTCATCCCAGCCTCCTCCCTTTGTGTATCTGTAGACTTCCACTCCAGCAGTGATAAACTTGGCTTTCACCATCCACCATCCCTTTACTTGATGGTTCGATTCCAAGCCACAGGTACAGCAATATCAGAATTGTTAACTCATACCTTGATGGAATAGGACTTTATCAGCTAGAACACAGTGCTTCCCGACACTCACTCTAGAGTTATTTCAGCCCCCCCCCCCCCCAGTGAGGTCGTTTTCGAACATTTACATTACAGTTGGGTAGTTTTGTGACATTCTGCTTTCTATCCTCTGATTGCCAGGCCTTCTAAATGGTTTTTAAATAATTGACAAAAATTACAATTCACTCTTTCTGCTGTAAAATGCGATGGATTTTGATAAATGCACAATATCATGTATCCACAATGACATATCATACAGAATTGTTTTGCATCCTAAAAACAGAATTATCTGTGCTTTACCTAGTCAACCCTCCCTTCGCTTTCCCTTGAATCTCTTGCAGTCACTGATTTTTTTTTTGCTATTACTAGATTTTTGCCTTTTCCAGAATGCCATATAATTAGAATCACCCAGTGTAGCTTTCTTAAACTGCCTTCTTTCACATAGCAATATGCATTTAAGATTCATCCATGTCTTTTTGTAGATTGATAGCTCTTTTTTTTATTGCTGGATAATATTCCATCATATGGCTGTAACACCATCTGTTTATTGAAAGCCATACTGGTTGCTTCCAGTTTTTGATGATTATGAATAAAGTTGCTATAAATATTCACTTGCAGGTTTTTGTATGGACATAATTTTCAAATCCGTTGGGTAAATACCTAGGAGTGCAATTGCTGGGTAGGGTCTCCAGTAACTTCTAATAACTACCAACTAAATCTCATTGAGGGGTTAACTGAAAATATATTTTTAAACCAACATTTACTGAATACTGATTATGTTCTTAAGCTTTGCAGCGGGGACTTTTACATCCCTTATTTATTTATTCATTCTGAAAATATTTATTGAATCTCTAGTACCATGGTCAGACTCTTTGAGGCATTGTGGAGGAAGCCATGAACAACAACAATCCTTCCTTAAGGAACTTTTATTTGAGTTAGGGGACACGTTATAAATGAATGAATGACTGACTGAATATATAAAATAGCAAGTGAAGATGAGCATTTCTAACAAAGCTATGGAAGGATAAGGCGGATTCGAGTGTCAGGAAAGGTGTATTTTATGTCAGGTGGATTGGAAAGGCTTCTCGTGCAAGGTGACATTTGCTCAGATACTTGACTGAAGTGACAAAGTGGGTCAGGAATAGTTGAAATTCTATGCAGAGGCCCTGAGCTGCAATAGACCTAGCATGTTCACATTTCCGAAAGAGCAAGGAGGCCAGTGTGGACAAAGCCAATGAGAGAAGAAGAGGATGTGAGGCAAAGCGAGAGGAGAGAAAGAAATTAGAAGAGCAGATTATATAGACTCTTTAGGCCATGGTGAGGATCTTGCATTTTCTTCCAACTAAGAGAGCAAAGTTGGAGCAGAGGAAAGATGTGATCTACCCAACACTTGCCGTGGCCCCCACTTTTTCACTCACCAGTGAAGTTGTGCACCAGGGAAAGGCCCACTGGAAAATGGCCAGTATGGTATGATTCCAGCAATATCATTTCAAAGGTATGGTTGGACAAATTTTACTTGAAGGAGGTGCCATGAGGGAAGGGAGTCTGGCTCCTGCAAGTGCAATCACAATGTCATCTTCAGGGAATGGCTGTAGAACGCCTTCTCGTCTTCCATTGTGATGTCATATGCATGTTCTCACTTTCATTCTGTGTGTTAGCCAAGGAAGACAGAGTTCTACGTTAAATTCCAGGAAATTTAGGCATAATGATTTAAAAATGTCAGCCTGCCTCTAATATTTAATGAGGACTTACTGTATGCCGAGCATAGAATGTATATTTTTTCTTATATATATGTGTGTGTGTGTGTGTATGTGTGTGTATATATATATATATATATATATATATATATATACATATATATAGTTTAATCTACTTAGTCTTCAAAAATTCTATGAATTGAGCCAACCTATAGAGGAAGGAACTGAGTTATAGAGGGCTAATGTTTCCCCTCAAAGTCTCATGGCTAAAGCATGATAGAGAAGGAATTCATCCAGTCTGTCTGGCACCAGAGCCTTAATTCTTAATAGACACTCAGTTGGCTCAAGGTCACCTGGCTTGTAGACGAGAGACTTGATTCTCAGTTTCTTTCCAGAAGGGCAACTATAACTTGGTTCCCTCACACAAATTCTAGACATTTTCCTTGGGAGGATCCCCCCCACTCCCCCCAACACCTATGTACACTGTTGAACTCTGCTCCTAAACCCAGGAGTGTGCCTATGACAGTTCTGGGCAGCTGTCCTGGAAGAGTGGTGGGTTTGGGGGTGGGCATGTGACCCAAATTCCCTTAAAAGATTTAATATTGGAAACTTTTTCTGTTAAAAGGAGAGGATCCTTATTTCCGCGGTGAGGCTATTAGCTGGCATCTTGCCAGCAACTGAAAAGCAGGAGAATCTGCCACCATGGAGTCAATGGTCAAGAGAGTTTCTCCTGAACTTTTCCATTATTTGAGCCAATAAGTTCCTTTTGCATATTCCAGTAGGACTTGGGTTTCTCTTATCTAGGTCTAAAGAATTTTCACTGGGGTGCCTGGGTGGCTCAGTCGTTAAGCGTCTGCCTTCAGCTCAGGTCATGATCCCAGGGTCCTGGGATCGAGTCCCATATCGGGCTCCCTGCTCGGCAGGAAGCCTGCTTCTCCCTCTTCCACTCCCCCTACTTGTGTTCCTGCTCTCGTGCTCTCTCTCTCTCTCTCTCTCTCTCTGTCAAATAAATAAATAAAATCTTTAAAAAAAAAAAAAAGAATTTTCACTGATAGAATAAGTTACCAAGTAAATCATAGTTACATAGCCCTAGATAAACTTCATTTTTCAAATCTCAAGTTCAGACCTCGGAATTTTGCTGGCATATGTGGCTGAGGGAACACTGGAGAGAGAGGAGCCCTAGCATGGAATTAGAAGACTGGGATCCAAACGCCAGCCCTAGCAGGTAGTTGTTAAGTAGTTTCTGAGCAGGTGAGCCGTTCCCTGAACTTCATTTTGTCCCGCTGTCAAACAGGAACTGTGCAAAAGACCTTGAGTGTTGTAATTGAAATAACATACATGAAAGCATCTATCAGAGTACCTGGCACATAGTAGGAACTCGAAAAATCATTAGCTGTAGGTCAGCTGCCCTGTACCAAGAACAGCATTTTGACTGGCAGTTTTCTGAATTTTAAGACTAACAGCTTCAGCCTCCATTAATTGTGCAAATACTGTGCTAGAGGTTGTGCCAGGAGGCTAACAGGATGTGAGCATAATAGGTCTTCTTTTCCTATGAGAAAAAAAAGGCTCAGAGAGGTAAAGAGATTTAATCTAAAGACAAACAGCTTGTAAGTGGCAGAACCAGGACTTGAACCAAAGTAGGTGATGATTGAAGCCTATACTTTTTTCCATTCATTGAGATTCTTCCCCAAATAGACTGGCTCACATGCATCAGAAATCAAGATGATAAGCTGAACATGTCTCCTGACTACAGCACATATCCAAGGAGGCCAAATTTATCCCTATTCAACTGAAAAATCAAGAAAAGTTAGGAGAGCACACATTTTTCTTCTTTTACTTTGGAAAAGATGCTGGAAAATCTACACCACTGAAGTCCAACCTTTAATTCAGTGAAAAAGAAGAAAATATTTCTCTATCCACAGTTCCCATTTTCCTCCTAAAAGAAGGGGGGGAATCCACATCTCTTCATTAAACTCTCTCCTCTTACTCCCAATCAATTTTAATTTTTAAAAGGATCCTCTGAATGACTAAAGTGGTCATTGTAGAAAAAGGCATTATGATACAAGGAGACAATTGGTTTTATATTTGCCAAGGTTCTCAGGCTTAGGAGACTTGAATGCTCAAATGAGGGAAATGGGAATATATTGCTAAAGAGTTCATTCATTGTTGTTTGTTCATCAATAATAGATACTTTCACTCAGGAAGGTTAAGTGACCCATATGTTTTTTGCCCAGCGTGGTTTTGTAGCCTAAAACACACCCAGGAGACAACTGCATTCTTCCCCCCCTTTGGACCTCCCCTGGCACCTCGGGACTTGTTTAAGCCGGCTTGCTGTATAACTGGGACTGCAATTTAATGCAATTTCTTGTCCATTTCACTGATTGCAACTATTTAGTACATTCTCAAAGAAAGATGATTACAACTGGCTGGTTCTTAATGCTTAATTTATTTACATGCATGCCTGCTACAGAGTTATTTTATTCATCTCCCAAATGATAGCATAAAATCATTGAAAAATGATGGGCAATAAACACAGCTATTTCACGGCAGTCCTCAGTGGAGAATAACACCCACCGTCACTCTGAACATTGTTTGACCTGTGGTCCACTGCTCTTAAAACCCAGCCATAATGAAGGCAGCACAGACATAAAACTCCTTTATTGCTACTTTGTTCTGACAATACTTGCACAATAACAGATTATTTTAGTTAAAATAAAACCCGTACCAAATTGGCATTTTTGTGTTGGTAACTGAAGCAAACCACATGTATATTTCCCCTTTTCTTTCTCATTCTTGCCTTTCTTTTCTTTTTGAAAGAATGTCATATTAGTTGGAAGAAGGGGTGACTTTTTGGAACCATGACTGCATTCTAACCCTCTCTTCTGTTGTTGCCTGGGCAAGGCTATTCACATTAAGCTGAACAAATGCTACATTTGCATTTCCGATAAGTGCTAGCATTTTTCGCATTTCTTTGGCAATTCTTGTTTCAGTAAGAACACCTGAAAAGTTACTGGGATCGCTCATCATCCCATCAAAAAGGGGAGGGGGAAAAATGGGATTTTCTCCAAATTGCAGAATGTCTTGAATCAGCAGAAAGACTTTGCTTTTTCTATTTGGGGATTAGAATAAGAACAAGACAATAAAGTGAAAACGGGCAGAATGGGTGTTTTCTTTTTTTTCCCTTTTTTCTTCTAACAAAATAGAAGAGGCAAGTTGGTGCCAGCAGTCAGTATTAGCTGACATGCCAGACGGCAGAATGCATTAATGAGTATACTCTCTCTACTACTTCTTATCCAAACAGCATCTAACTGCCTTACATTCCTCCATTAAAAAAAAAAAAATGCAGTGTCTATTTTTTCCCAGCCCAAACAAAATCCACAATCACGCTGCCTCTTTCAAAATCACATTATGTTATTATATATAAGGACAAGACATTTCGCTTCAAGGAGGTTGCTGAAGGACTGCCTTGCAAGGACTCTTTGTACTGCAATTACTAGAAGTTCTCATAACGTTTGGTTACCCAAAGATGGCGGAGAGGAAAAATCAAAAATTAACCAAGCATTCTATCCCCAACCTCGTGACCTTCCATAGGAGAATCATCGCTGTTAGATTTTTGAAATTATTTCTGATAAGAGCTAGAGCAAAATGACTTTTGAAAACTCAACAGCAAACAGAAGAAGCAGGAAGGAGCCCTCATTCCATGAGAATTACACATTTCTTTCCCCCTTTTTTAGCTTTGAAAGGATTCAGACTCAGTGTGAGGCAGTTCTGTTTTCACCGAGATATAGGTCTACCTCTGACTTTCTATCCTCAACTCGTCTGAAAGAAGAGCAGACTTTTCTTTTTCATAATTATGAATATCTCAGTTATCCAAAGAGATGCACCAAAAACATTTCCGCAGTTTTGTCTAAAAGTCTGACCCAAAGGCAGGGCACGGTTGTCTTTGAAACAATAGGAGATGATAGGACGATAGATATTCCCTCTGACTCTGAATGTTTCAACCCAGAAAGGGGAAAGAAAAAAAAAAGGGGAAGAAAAGTCTGGTTATTACAGATCCCCCTGTAGAAAGAGAATTTCAAGAGAGAAAGCAGTGAAAAACATAGAAGTTGCTTGTCAAACCCATGCTCTGCATCCCCCTGCCCCACCTGCCTGGCATTTCCTCACCATCCGTCCTTGGCGCTTCGCTCCTTTTCTCAGGTAGGGAATGCTCTGAAATGATGATTCTCACCCGGCAAAAGAAGTGGTCATTTCCCACATGAGCCTGGGCACAGATATGTGCATCTATCCCCAACCTCATGACCTTCCATAGGAGAATGGAGCCTGCCTACAAATGTGTGCATAGTAATTAGGGAGTAGCTGTAAATCAGAATTACCTGGTGTTTTCAGTTGAATGTTGGCTCCCAAAAAGATAGGCCCATGTCCTAATTCCTGGACCCTGCAAATGTACCTTATTTGGAAAAAGGATCTTGGCAGATGTAATTAAGTTGAAGTCTTGAGATCAGATCATGCTCGATTATCCAACTGGGCCCTAAATCCAATGAGGGGTATACTTATTATAGTCACATAGAGGAGAACAGACATACAGAGGAGAAAGTGACATGGGGACGAAGGCAGAGATCAGCGTGATGTGACCACAAGCCAAGGTGCCAAGGAATGTTGACAGCCAGCAGAGGTTGAAAGAGGCAAGGAAGGATTGTCCCCTAGAGCCTGCGGCAGCAATTTAATTTCAGACGTTCAGCCTCCAGAACTCAGAGAAAATAAATTTCTATTGCTCTAAGCTACCTAATCTGTGGTCATTTGTTGTGGCCGCCCTGGGGAACAATATTCCTGGGGAAAGAGTAAAGACTCTCCTTCCAGTCTGCACAGGCAGAACAA